CTTTTAAAATAGGACGCGAGCGGGACGGATTTCTGTGAAAACTGGCGAAATGCTAACGGTAACGGGGAGGAATAGGGCCGGCAGAGCGGGCAACCCCTCCCTTGGCCAACTGAGTCACAATTTTCCCCCCTTCTGTCTGCGAAAGACTGACTTATAAACACCGCTGTTTATGTAATTCGAAGAAAATACAGTGTACCCCCCCCAAAAAAAAAAAAATTAAAAAAAGCCACCCAATCATCCCCTGGCTTTTGTGAGCTGAGCGCTTTCACGCCGGATTGTTTTCTGATGCCTCTTGCTCTTTTGGAGCTTGAAAACATAAAATGTGTAACTGCAGCAGCTGCTAAAAAAAAAAAAAAGGGGGGGGGGGGACAACCTTAAAAGAAAATCAAGGTAAAATAATCCTCTTTGCATGTTCCCGGCGGCGGTCACTCGCTTCCTTACGGTCCTGCTCGGGATCAAACCCCAACCCAACCCGTGACACGAGTTTGAGAACCTGAGTTGAATGAATAAATCCCCCCAGAGCGAGCACCCTTCCTCCGGAGAGGAAAAATTATTCCCTTGCAAGTTCCGAGGGATGAGTCAGTGGCTCGGGAGCTCTGCCTCCCAAACCACGCCGGGAATGTTCGGGGAGCCGGTGCCGGGAGCTGGGGCGCTGGGTTTTCCCCCTTTTCGCTGTGGATGTGGGCGATGCCACGGAGTCGGGCCGCGGGCTGGTGAATTATTCCTCACTCTAGCGGGCAGTTGTGATTGGCACGTAGGAAACTTCACGCTAAGAAGTTAATCTCCTTAGTTTAGGGCCATCTCCCTCCGAGCTGGGGCTGGTTTATCGCCTTTCTGCCTCCCGGGCTCCCAGCCCAGGGTTTTCGAGGGGAAGTTACTCGTAGGATCGCAGCGGGGTGTTGCAGCAACCAACGTAAGAAACGCCAAGTAATACTCTGAAGTACGTGTCCAGCTTCTCGCTGCTTGTCTTGATTTTTTTCCGAGGGTACTGTGTTTTGAAATAGCGGTGTCACGCTTTGATTTAGGAGTGCGCTTTGCTGCTTTTAATTAAGGAGTCAGCAGTTCACCCTCCTAACGTACTCCGCGCTGCGCGACTTGGAAGCATCTTCATTAAACTGTGACGTGGAAATTTTCCTATGATTTTTTCCTTGCTTTTTTTTTCTTTTTGCCCCAAATAATAAAGCTTTAAGACCTCACAATAAATGCTGAATATTGTTTCTTGAGTCATTTTGTTAAATCCAATGATTTAGGGTGTGAGCATCCTAATGCACCCAGCAAAAAGCGCTGTTAAGATGCTCCTGATGGAACTTTAGTTTTTCTTACTCCCGTTCTCACCACCATCCTGTCAGCCAGGATCCACCTGGTTAGTTAAAACTAATAGCAAAAAGTGGATTTAACAGCCCCTCTCGGTCCCAAACACAATAAAATACCAAATGCAAGTGACCGAACCTCCTCGCTCATTCTCCGTGGGGGGAGTTTTACCAAGTGTGTGTTTCAGCTGTGGCAGGATTTCTCAGGGTCAGTTTTTAATATGCGGTGTGTAAAGTTGTAATTTTTGGCAAAATGGTTTTAGAGCAGGTTGCAATGTCTTAATTTTAGTCTCACCAGCAATGGGGTCTGTGACTGTAAATTGCTTTTTCCGAATAAAGTTGTTGGATTGTGTTTAGGTGGCATTTTGATGAATTGTATCTTTTTAAAGAAACAATTGTGAGACTGAATAAGCAGTTCTTGTTTGGATCTTACTAGTCCACGAAATGCTGTTTTGAAAACCACTTTTAGTATCTGCTCGGAAAGTGAAAGTTGTGTCTGTTAATGTGAGGAGGAATCATCCATCAAACAGAGTGTTCAAGATATGACTCATGCTAATTTGTTGCTCTCACATTAAGGCTGGAGCACAAAAATATTTTAGCCTCTGGCATTGAAAGTTCACAATGCCGCATCCTACCATTCCGGGTCACAAATCACAGTATTCTTTGTTTACTGCCCCCCAGGAAAGAAAAAAATCAGGGATAGAATGAGGATATTTTGCACAAGAGCCTGTCCCAGGCGATGGAAATGTCACAGAAATGTTGACTTGACATTAATGCCCGGGCAAGTAAGACCCTGCTCTGTGCCCGAATCACAACGGCTTGCGAGAGGCGTGCAGCAGGTGCTGTCTTCCCTTCTCGAGCAGGGAGTTTAAAAAAAAAAAAAATACTGCCTGATCCTGTTTTAAAAGGCTTTAGTGCAGGCAGCCCTTGGAAGCTGAGGAATACTGCTTGTTGCAAAGGGGTTGTTGGAAAGGCAGCGCTGCTAATAGCACGGGCTATCTGGGAACTGGGATAAGCAGCCTTATGTAAGCAGCGGCTCCGTAGCCTGTAGCCTGATGAATATACATTGTTTTATGTCCACCGTCTCCATCAGTTCCCTAGGAATAAGTGCATCACTACCTCCAAGTGCTGCCTGTTCTTTAAGGCTTAAAAATATCCATAAACTGCAGAAGTTTGAACCTTGTCCAAAGGATTTGGGCTCTCTATTATCCGATCTGCTAGCTGTGCCTTTGAAACTGTATCTCCGGAGCTATCCTTAGGTGCTCTTAAGTGTCTTCTGATGCAGTTTAACAACATTGTTTAATGCTTATTTAAAGTTGGCTGTAAAACATTCCAGGATTTTTTTTTTTTTAAATTAAAGTTGTATTTAAGTCACAACTTGCTAATACTGTGCTTTCGATCGGTATTGTACGTACTCCGTTCTTTTTATGGAATGTAGATGTTTCAATGGCTCTTTAAAAACGCGGCAAATAAACGGCTGCAAATCCACAGTTGTCACTGAAGTCAGGCAGAAGTTTTAACGGAGACGCTGGAGTTGTGCCGTGCCCCGATTTAGCAGCGCAGCCTCCAGGAGAGTTCTGCATCCGACTCTTCAGCAGTCCTTGGGGTGGCCGCTGCGGCCAGGCGCTGCGGTGAGGTCCAGCTCACCAGCTCATCCCAAGCTTCGGCACGGCTGGGACGTAAATCGCAGATAAACCCCGGCTCCTGACCGTTCCCGCAAGTTTTGTCTCCCGTTATCGTGCCGAATCCAGGCTTTCTCCCGCGGACTGTTTTCCTGTCAGATAGGCTCGGAGTGTTAGGGAGCACGTATTCACACCCACGTGGGTTAGTGTTTGTATCCACTGGTGGCTTTTATCCAGAGATCACCGGCACCGTGCTCCTGAGAAATGAGTGGCCAAAGCGATGCAGGGCGGTGCAGGGAGCCTCCCTGCAGCGAGGGAGGGTCACACGGAGGTGGCTGTAGGTCGCTGCTGTGATGGGGAGAGGCAAAGCAGCTGGAGTTTGGATGCAACTGAGGAAAAGTCCCAAAGTGAGCTTCTAGAAATACTGACTTCTCCAAAGGACGTGGTGAAATGGATTCACATAGGAAGAGCGTTAGCCTGAGTGCGTTTCAGTAAGCCGTCCGTCCTCAACCAACGTAAAAGTAGATGAGTTGGGGGTCACGAGCTGGCACAGCATTTATTCAGCTCTCTTCAGCCTCGAGTCGTGTTATTTTGTGAAGGAAGCCATAGGGAAGAAGTCCTGGAAGGCTGCAGCGCTGGTCTAACGGGAGTGCAAGTTTCCCCCGACTCTGCTCAGAGCTGGCACGCTGCGGTAGTAACGGGACTGGTTTGAAACGGGTCTGAGGAGACCGAGGCACATCTTGAATACAGATGCGCTCACACTGGCTTAAGGTGCTGGAGTGGTTTGTTTTAGCGCTCTGTTAGGCCGAGTTGGTCTGTGTGGTTTCTAAACCACTTCAAATTCCTACCTGCTAGAGTTTTGTCCCGGTCTGACTTGACGAGTTTTAGTAATGCTGTTTTCTGCCTTCGAATTAGCGGCGCCTCATACAAGCCTGGTGCAGAACAGCCCGGAGCGGCGCAGGCTGCAGCCCAGCAGAGCGGTGCCCGCTGTGGCACGCTCGTGGGGGGTCCCCCTCTGCCTCTTCCCTCCAGCTTCTCCGACCAATTTCGTAGTCCAGAGTCAGTTGGTACTGGCTGTTTTGAAACAGCTTTCAGGTCTTTTTTTTTCACCCACCCCCCCAGCTGTGTTCTGCAGCATCTCTAGATGTCTGCCAGTGCTTATCGATTGGCTTCTCTTCCTATCACAAAGTAGCTGCTGATGAGGAGAAAAAGAACATGTCGCTATTCTTATGAGTTTCCAGGCGGAAAGAGCACAGTGGTCAGCGTATAAATGCGTCGGGAACCTGCTAAATATAGAAATATGGCTTTAGACAGCTCTCGATCCAGGTTGCTTTGGTTTCAGTGCTAACACGCTGGCGTGAACACGTTGTTTAAATAAGATGCCTTATCGTATCCGGGCTCTCTGTGGCTACAGTTTAATTCCCAACGTGCACTAAGCTTCAAGGTGGGGCCTTATTTTGCAACTCCTATCGGTGCGCTCCAAAGATTGTCCCAAGGTGGCATCTGATAACGATCTTTAGCAAAACAAGTTATCTGTTATGTAAAGATCAAACGCCGTGTCAGTAAGAGATCTGACAAGCACCTGGTTGTTTTCCATAAGAAGTGTTGCCCTCCGGAAACTTAATAATTATTTGCTTGTTACGATGCGTGCCATCCTGCGCTTATCGCAGAATCTGCTCAGCGAACGCGTTCGAAGCGCGCGCGGTTTTTCCTGCCCGAGATTTATGTAACCTTTCCCAGTTGTTACTTCCGCGGCTTTTGGTCTAGCATGTGCTTTCCTGTAGTTTGTAAATGTTCTCACCGTGTCAGAGTGAGCACCCATCCGTAGAATTTAAGTGTGAATGTTTGGTTTTAGGCACACGAAGCCTCACATCACCAACAGCAGGCAGCACAGAACAGTTTGTTGCCTCTCCTGAGCTCTGCTGTTGAGCCACCCGATCAGAAGCCGATTCTGCCCTTACCAATAACGCAGAAACCTCAGCCTGCACCAGAAACGTTAAAGGATGCTATTGTTGGGATTAAAAAGGAAAAACCTAAAACCTCCTTTGTGTGCACTTACTGCAGCAAAGCTTTCAGGGACAGCTACCATTTGAGGCGTCACGAGTCCTGCCACACAGGGATAAAGTTAGTGTCACGGCCAAAGAAAACTCCCACCACAATGGTGCCCCTTATCTCAACCATCGCTGGTGACAACAGCCGAAGTTCACTGGTTTCGACTATTGCGGGCATCCTGTCCACAGTCACTACGTCTTCCTCTGCCACCAATCCCAGCAGTAGTGCCGGCGCAACGGCGATGGCAGTGACTCAGACGGTGAAGAAGCCCAGCAAGCCCGTTAAGAAGAACCACGCTTGCGAGATGTGCGGCAAGGCCTTCAGGGATGTCTACCACCTCAACCGGCACAAGCTGTCCCATTCAGATGAAAAACCCTTTGAATGTCCAATTTGCAATCAGCGCTTCAAGAGAAAGGATCGCATGACCTACCACGTGAGGTCTCACGAAGGTGGCATCACGAAACCGTACACCTGTGGTGTTTGTGGAAAAGGCTTCTCGAGGTACCATGTAGAAAATCCCAGGCGAGCTCAAGTATTGGCTTTTCATAACCAAGAAGGGTTAAGCTATCATAGCGAGGGGCTAGGAGAACCAGACATCTTAGAAGATTGGTGAGGGGATAAAGAGCCTTGTTTACCTCTAGGGCGTGGGTCTCGATCTGAGCGAGATTTTGGCAGTGGCCAAAAGCGGTCGCTCTTTTATGAGAATGTTTTGCTGTGGTTGCGCGACCTCATCCAGGTCCCATAGGACACGTGTCCGTGTCCGTGTCACTGCTGGGGACCACAGAGCCCCTCGACCAGCCTTTGCAAAGGTCGATGCCCGAAGGGGGCGCGGCGGGCACGCTGCCTCCTGGCGTCCTAGCCAGGTTGAGCCTACTGACAGAGCATTGTGGGGGAGCTTGCATTGCTGCTGGCTGTACCTGTGCTTGCAAGAGAGAAATCGTCAACCTTTAGAGCTGTTGACCTGCCACCTTCACACACGCCACGGCCAACCGTGCCGTTTTCAGGGGCGTGAGGAGAACACGGTCAGTGTTCGACGGCAGGGTGGCTCTCAGCGTAACTGGGTGGTACTCTAGCTGCAAGCCACCGCATAGGTGTGGGCAACGTGTTGATTCTTGCCGTGCAGGGGGCCGTGGGCTGCCAGGGGTCGTGAGCGCAGTGTTGGGCACGGTGAGCCAAGGTGGCATTACTATGTATTTGTAACAGTATGCATTTTCTTTGTTGTTCCTCTCTTTTTTTGCAGGCCCGATCATTTAAGCTGTCACGTTAAACATGTTCACTCAACAGAGAGACCCTTCAAATGCCAAGTAAGGGCTAAAATGATTTATTGAGAGCAATACCTTGGCGTTATCATTAGAATCTCAGGTGAATAGTCTTTCCAGAGCTGTAGTTGCTCCTGGACTTCGCTTTGAAAAGCAAGTTTAGGAGTAAAGTTGTATCTGCCTTCTGTACCAGCAGCACTGTAGTTCTGATGTAAGTCCAGAGGCAGTTTAAAAGGATCCTGGGGCTACTTTTTTAGGAAGATTAGAGGCTTTTGGCTTTCTTGGAGAACAACGTAGGTGCTCTGTTTTACGGTACGCTTAACTTAGTTGTAGGACTGTAACAGTGTCCTCAGCTCAGTGCTGATTACTAGAGTAATGTGGGCAATGTGGTTCTCAGCATATTTAAATTAAATGTGTTTCTCAGTATATCCATTTGAGATGGATTGGAATAGTTGATTCTGGATCTGTTATTTTGCTGGAAGGTGAAAGCAAGTTGTTGTAAGCTGATGACTGAGTGTAAGAGAAATAACTTGCCTGCCCTTGAACAATTAACTGTTTTGCTTGGAATATCCATGCTTCTTCCAACCCGTGTTTTAGTGACTCATCATGTTAAATAAAAGTCTTGTGTAAAAGGAGAAGCGTTAGAAAAAGGTTTTGTTTCCTTGTTCTGATTTGGATGGGAACAGAAGTAATTGAGCAATTTAAGATATCGGGTTCGTATTTGTACAGTAAAATTGTATCAAAAGCCAACTTTGCCTGTTCTAGGCTCTTTTGGTAAGCTACCTCTTGCTTTGGTAGGTAAGGAAAGCTGCTATTTTAAGAAAGTTCAAGGAGCAGAGAGTGTGATTTTTGTCCCAACTGTCTCAGAAGCCAACTTCTGTTGAGTAGTTTGATTTCGGGGTCTCTATAGATGCAGCTTAAGGTTGTTAGTATACTTAGAATACTGTTTGCACCAACAAGGTAAATGGGCTTGCAGTGGGCATGTAATTCGTGCGGAAATGATGCTGTCTGCACTTCAAGTGTAACTGTTGTCCTTCATATAGACGTGCACTGCTGCCTTTGCCACCAAAGACAGACTGCGGACACACATGGTGCGCCATGAAGGAAAGGTATCGTGTAATATCTGTGGTAAACTTCTGAGTGCAGCATATATCACCAGCCACTTAAAGACACACGGGCAGAGCCAAAGTATCAACTGTAATACCTGTAAACAAGGCATCAATAAAAGTAGGTGAACGTTTTAAAAACATTTCTAATAACAATGTGTTTGCAAAGGGAATTGCCTTTGATTACGTTAAAATGCAAAAACGTACCCGTCAGGCTGGGTGTTCGCACCTATTAAGGTAGATATTTGATAACAGAATCTTCTTCAGCTCAAGAATTGGCATATGTGGATTTGGTTTGCTGCTAGACCGTGCTCTTATCCCTTGGGAATGCCCCACAGTTTGTGAGAATAACCCATCTCTTGGAGAAAAGAGTTCCCAAGTTTTCTCAGTTTCTAAGAACTGTGCTGCTTCCTGAACTGTGCAGGCCTAAAAGTCCAACAGATAATTCTGGAGATTTTAGAATATTTAAGGACTGCTAAGATCTGCCGAGTTTCAGGTTTGAAGTCTCATCTAAAGCTCATCAAAGTTAGGAGAAAGACTTCTCTGCTCTCTCTGAGCTTTGACCCTGGGGCTCAGTGATTCCTCCCTCTGGCAGTAGCTGACAAGAAAAGCATTTAAATCCAGCCCTGATTGTGTTTTGGGCTCTAATGGCATTTGACTGGTGGTGTGCAGGGGTTCAAATGAGATGCTTGTAGTAGTTCCTTCTAGTCTTAAACTCTGTGGAAGTGCTGAAGCCTGAACCTGGGAGTACCTAGTAAGCAAACGAAGACTTGATTTTCAAATCGTCCCTGTTAAGAAACCTGTAGCTTCAGTTAACCCACATGGTTAGGGGTATAAAACGGGTTTTCAGAAGAATCAAGAGGGAGAAGTAGGGAATGTCTTGGGAAACTTTGTCCCTAAAGCTTTTACAACTTTTAAAAGTATTGGTTTACAACATCTTTTCAGTTCCTGTTACTCCTGGGTAATTGGAAGGTACCGGGAATGTCTAAAATGCCTGATTGTTGAGCTTAATACGAAATTTGGATGTGAAGTATTTTTCAAGGTCTAGGGTTACAGCTCTGGCTTGCCAAGCCAGTTTGGTGGTGCCAAGCCAGTTCACGTGAGGCATTTACAGCAGTTGTTAGAGGTGGAAATGATGAGCTGTAATGTGGCCAGAGAGTAGTAGTGTGCTGTTCTGTGCTGTAAAGGTAAACTGAAAATTTTCACTCACACTTGCAATAAGAAGTAAAAAGGCTTTTTTTTTTTAAAAAAAACAACAAACAAACCTGGAGCTGAGCTTTAGAAAAAGTGGAATCAGCTAACCAGCTGCAATTCTAGAGACTCATTGTAATCTTTTATTTCCTTCTTCCTAAAATATAAACAAAATAATCAGAAATGAAGTTAATTTTTGGCAGTGAGGGCAGATGACTTATATTTTGTTTAGCTTTTGGAAAAGTAGTTTTATAAGACACAGAATTAATGACATGTTTTTAAACACCTCTGTGATTTTTGCTCTTGGAATCCTGTGAGATTCCACACACTCTTTATGGAAGAAGCCTTTGTGATCTCAGCAGAAAACAGAGTAACTTTTTCAAGGTGAATTTGTGTTCTTACTTAATTGGCATAGCATGCATGAGTGAAGAGACCAGCAATCAGAAACAGCAACAGCAGCAGCAACAGCAGCAGCAGCAACATGTCACAAGTTGGCCTGGAAAGCAGGTAGAGACCCTGAGATTGTGGGAAGAGGCCGTCAAAGCAAGGAAGAAAGGTAAAACAAAGCAGTACTTACAGTCCTGGTTTTATAAGATACTGGAGTTCACAGTTACATAGGGAGTTTAAGGTGTCAGAAAGGGATGTCTTACATGAAAATTCCATTCTTGATGTTAGAAGTCATAGCTAAAAGCCAGTGGGAGGGTGACACGACCAAAATGAATGCTGTTGCAAATGAACTCCTCCTTGCTCGCTTCCCCTTGGTCCCTGTGCTTGGATGTGGACGTAGCATCGTCAATTAGAAAGGCATGTTTGTGTCTGCTCCAAGGCAAGAGTGTGTTTTTCTGGCTTGCATGTGGTTTTTAGCTGTGTTTATGCCTATTTACCAGTTGTTAACATGTGTGCATATATATGTGTATATATACACACCCCCCACCCTCTGTCGTGGCATCATCATCCATTTGCATGTGGGTGCTTTCTGTGTCCCTTTCATCTGCTTTCCCAGTTTATTCCATTCGCTTTATCATCACGTAACTGTCTTTGCATAAAGTTTTCTAGAACTCCTAGAACTTACTCCTCTGTCTTATTTTTTTTTTGCATTACAAACTTCACTAATAAGTGAGGGCGTTTTTCATTATTGCTCGCTCACCGCTGACCTGTACCTAACGCCGCTGTAATCGAAGTGGAATAGTTCCCATTGTTGGTCTGTGTGTCAGATTTGTCAAGAACGGATTGCTTCCATTTAGTGTCCTAAGGAGGATTGGGGTTCCAATTCTCCCTTACTGCTAGCTTATTCTTTTCACAAGTTTGATTTCTAATGCCTGTCCTGTGACTCTCGTGGATTACATGTTTTAGAATAAATTCTTAGTGACCACTTACTGTTTTTCACTAGCTGTTTTTAGTAATAAATGCTTTTGACTCACCTTATTTTTTTCTTTTCTCCTCAACTTCCTTTCAGTTTCTTCCATCTTTTTTTTTTCTTTTCTAGGTCTTGTTTGTGTATTAGACTGCTAGCTCCTTTCACCTTGATTATTATTGCAGTTGAATTGAATTCTGTGATCAGACAGTATAGAAAGAGCTTATTCGTGTTAAAATGTAGCGATAAGAGAAACGTTAGATATCATCAGGCCACTGCATGGATAAAGCAAACGGGTGTCAGATTTAGAAAATCGCTTGAGATTTTTCTTCCCCGCTTGTTCCTTCCTGTGTCTTGTTCCCTCTTCCCTTCCTTTCTTACTGAGATATTGAATGTGCTTTAACAGGAACCGTGGTTTTGGACAGAACGGTGGGTGAGGGAGGTGGGTGGGGAGAAGTGTTGTCAGATTGATATTAGCTTAACTTAAATGGGGAAGGGGCATGGGGTGGGATGTGTCTGCGTATCACTGTGCTTGGAAGGTGAAGCTAGACCAGTCAGTGCCGTGCCTGTGTGCTGCCCTTTCCATGCTGGTTCTCCTGTGCCGGTGCCACCTCTTGCGTTGGCTTTACAACACTGTGGGATTTTTTTTAGTCTAATGCTATTTATTTTCACAATTTTTTTTTTTTTTTTT